TTTTATCATTTTTTGTCTATTTGCATAACAAATATATCAGAGTCGACTGGCATTTTTTTCAGTTGATTATGCCAAACTAAAATTTTAAAAGTTAAACGATTTTGAGAGCAATTCTTTTTGAATTCTGAGAAAACACACTTTCTCCTATCATTTTGACGTTTTGTTATTTTTTCCAATAAATTGGAAACCACTGAATAACAAAGAAAACTAACGTGTGTTTACGGCAAAAACTAATAAGTTCTTATATGGCAAATAGGAAAAACAATGCAAACTTTTTAAACCTTTAAAACAACTAGAGCAAAACTTACAAAAAAGTTTTGGTTTTTTTTATGCAAGCAAAATGTTGAGTGTTTTGCAGTGCAAAAAGATTTAGTTTAGAAAAGCTTTGATTTGCTTTTTTCCACAACAGGATTCTACTACTACTTTTAATATTTAAGTACTGTGCAACAATTCAGTGCAGTAAGTTTAGTTAGTTAAACTGATTAGAGGAATCCTTTACCAGCAAATAACAACCAACCAACCAGCCAGCCAGCCAGCCAGCACACTTGCACTAATTAAATTTAATTAAAATTAAATTAACTTTTTTGACTGGTCGAGACAACTTGTCTGATTTTAGGCTGAAAACAACAGCAGCAGCAAAAGTTTAAAATGAACAAGCAGTAAAAAAGAGTAAAAGTGAAAATCTGTTTGCCGTCACTCTTGCACGTCAAGCTCTCTTTCTGACTGCGTGTTTTAAAATCAGAAAAAAGTTTTAATTTTAAGCTAATTAAAAATTTCACTCACTATCACATTTAAAGAGCCTTTGCTAGCTTGCTTTCCAGTGCCTTTCATTTACATTTCAAGTGCACACCATTTTTGGCATTTGCAAATATTTTCAGTTCTAAAATTGTCAATTAGAAAGAGAAAAAGAGAGAAAGCGAGAGAGTCAGTGGCAGCAGGGGTCTTTTCATTTTAAAGTTTTGCCTTGAAGGCTCAAAGATTCAAAGGCTCAGCTGCAAAACTTTTCAAAACTGTTCATTTGACAGGGCAAAGAAGTGCAAAGAGCAATTTGCCTTCCACTTTGCCGTTGCAACACTTGTGCCACCACTTAGCATCAGTGGCAACGACATTGCAGTGGCATTTAATTGTAATGAAAGTTGACATTTTCAACAACAATTGCCACTGCAGCCTAGACCTTATTCTCTCTTAGCCTAGCTTGCAAAAAAGAAAAATGTCAAAACAATATTTAAATGAGCATCAGCAGGGGCAGCAAAATAAGAATGCAGAATTCAGAATAATAATTGTGTTGCTGCAGTTTTTGAGATAAGAAGAAGAAGATGCAATAATGGTAAAAGTTGATGGCAAATGAGAAAAAAGAGATTGAAATGGCGTTTAAAAGTTAGCAGACAAAAAAGTGATTTTTAAACATCTTAAGTTATTTTTTACCCATTTTAAAATTGTTTTTAAAATGCGTTTGCACTTTAATTTAATCAATTATTTAAATTGGTTTAACTGGGTGGCAGGTTCACTACTACTCACTCGTTTTTAATCATCACAATGAGTAATTACCTATCACCATCATCATCATCACCACCATCATTATTACTATGATGATGGTGATTAGTGAATTGCAGCGTGCTCTCTGGGTTAACATGTTAATTTTAAAAATTTTAAAATGCAAAAACAGCTGTAAAATTTGCATTTTTTATTGCCGTTTGTGCTTTTGAAAGTCAACAACACAGCCACGTTGGGGAACAATAGAGAGGAAACAAATAATAAAATTTAAAATGATGGCTTTTGCTTTCAATTGGCTGTTGACGCAGTTGGGAAGCGGTAAATTTAAATAAATTTGTAATTTAAATGCACAAAATAGACACTGTGATTCAGTAGTTTGAAATTTTGGTAAACGCAGCATAAACAAACCAAAATAGCGCAAAAACAGTTTTTGTTGTTTATCCCAAGTCTAACAACTAATTTTCTACTTTTTTTCTACTTTTTACAGACATTGAAAACAAACTCCAGAAAACTACCGAAAAATACGGCGTAGTGCCAATGTAGCTGCTTGAACTCCTCTTCAAACAAAACTTTCCATCAACGCCTGAAAACGATGAAGCTTTCCATTTCACTGAGGAGGATTGACCTTCTCTTTCTCCTCTTCCTAACTCTTGGATTGCTTCTCATCTTCACTTCCGTTTCCTCCTTGAGCACTAACTCCACATTAGCTGTTCAGAATAAAACTTCAATTTCCCTTACTTCCTCAACAGTTTCAACAGCAACTTCCAAGGTGAAGCGAAGTTCACCGCCGCTTTCTGAGCTTGAAAAGGAGTCCTTTGCAGAGGAGGACGAAGAGGAGGAAGAGGACGTCGTCGATGACAATGATGATGATGATGAGGGTGATGACGACGATGACCACGACGATGATAGTGAAATAGAAGAAAAGAGGGGCAACCGAGCTAGCAAAAGAAGGTCAGCAAAGCCAATTGACCATGATGATGAGGATGATGACAACGAAGATGATGATGAAAACGACGACCACAGCTATGGAAAAAGAAATGGTCGTCCTCTGAAGAGGACAAGCAGTAAAACCTCCAAAAAGAGGTACACAAAAGCTAACAAAAGACCAAACGTCAGCAGTGCTAAAAATAACAACAGAAAAAGCGGTCTGAAAGCATCAAAATCGGCAAAAGGAGCTTCAAAACGCAAATTTGAAAGTGATGACGATGATGATGATGACGAGGACGACGAGGACATCGATGACAACGATGATAATGATGATGATGAAAATGATGAAGAGGAAACAGAAAGATATTCCAGCAGCAAAAGCAGAAAGTCCAAAGCAAAAAAGAGCTCACCTCAAAAGAAGAAAAAGTCTCAGAAAAAAGAGCCCCTCTTTGACGCTCAGCTGAAGTTCACCAGCAACGAGCTGTGCTCTGACATTCGCTGCCAACCGAATGAGTACTGCTTTGTGCCCTCGCCGGGCATTGCCGAATGCTTGCAAAAGCCGATTTACGCGAGAACGCCCCCTAAACTTCCGTTGAAAAAGGCCTCTCACTTTTCATCATCTTTCACCCTAGATAACGATGGGGATCAGACTGAAGATGATGATGGAGATAGTGACAACGACGACGATGAAGAAGATGAGGCAAACGTTGAGGCGGAGTTGATGGCAGAAAAGCGGAAAAACAAAAAGAACAACAACAACAGCAAAAAGTCCTCTTCCTCTCCGTTTCAGGGCTCAAGGACTCTTCTTCGACGAACTTCAGCAACGTCAATTAAAGGTAAACCAATTACCGATGATGAGGACTACGAAGAGGAGAAAGAGGAGGAAGATGAAGATGACGAGGATAATGACGATGAGGCTGAAATTAAATCCAACAGCCGCAAAAAGTCCTCCTCTTTATCAAACTCCCACAAAACTTCTTCACTGCAACAATTTCCATCAGAGACAAAAGCAAAATCCTTCAACAGCAGCAAAGTGCACATGTGTCCGCCCTGCCCCTCGACCAATAGTGAATATGGGCATTCCTCTAAATTTAGTCATCAAAACCATCAAAATCAGGTAATCTGCGGCTCGGACAATGCCAGCTATTCGAGCAGCTGTCGACTGGACTTTCACAATTGCGTCCACGGAACGGAGGTTCGCTTTGCCTGCTTCGGTTTTTGTCCCTGTCTTCGAGTCTACGAAAAGGTCTTCATAAAGCCCAAAAACATTGGAGAAAATAGTCGCAAAAACTTTCAACGTCAGGCCGCTCTATTCCATTCTGTTCCTCATCCGACGTACAGCCCGCTGAAAAAGTCCATCTACAACAAGGGAAGTTCTTCGTCAAGTTCTTCAGCCGAGAAAATTCGCATCAAGGCAAAGAAGGGCACCGCCAATGAGGTGCTTCAACGAAAGGAGCTAGAAAAGATGCACTACACCATTTCCGATAAAGTTGGCAGCGGATCCACTAAGGAGTGTTCAATGGAGCAGGTAA